AGCACAGCAGCGTGATCTCCACTCACTGCAGCCTCCACCTCCCGAGTTCAAGTGATTCTCATGCCTCGGCTTCCTGAGTAGCTGGGATTGCAGGTCTGCACCACCATGCCTGGCTGATTTTTGTATTTTTTGTAGAGATGGGGTTTTGCCATGTGGGCCAGGCTGGTCTCGAACTCCTGGCCTCTAGTGATCTGCCCTCCTTGGCTTCCCAAAGATGGGATTCCAGGCATGAGCCACTGTGCTCAGCTCTATCACAGAATTTTAAAGGATAACTGTGGATTTTTAGAGGATTAATATGCTGGTGTGGTGGAAGAATAAAAAAAAAATAAAAGGAGAGGACTTAGATGCCCTGGGGTGAGATGAAAAGAGCCTTTTGCTGTAATGATTTTAATGAGGAAGAAGAGAAGGAACGTAGTTAAACAAACTAATATGACTTTTTAAAGCTAGGTGTTTTTTTTTTTTGAGACTGAGTCTTACTCTGTTGCTCAGGCTGGAGTGCAGTGGCATGATCTCAGTTCACTGCAACCTCTACCTCCTGGGTTGAGGCAATTCTCTTGCCTCAGCCTCCCAAGTACCTGGGATTACAGGCACCCACCACCATGACCGGCTAGTTTTTGTATTTTTAGTAGAGATGGAATTTTACCATGTTGGCTAGGCTGGGCTTGAACTCCTGACCTCAAGTGATCCCCTGCCTCAGCCTCCCAAAGTGCTAGGATTACAGGCATGAGCCACCCCGCCCAGTCTTAAAGCTGAGATTTAGAAAGAAGATCTGAGTGAGAAAAGAAGGATACCCGTTCCCCCATAAATACCAGCATGTCGTTAACTTGGGAACTATGCCAGGAGAGCTAGAGCTCAAAATAACTTCTGGGTTACAAATAATGTCCAAATTGTACAAAGTTAATTACGAAAAAAGAAATATATGTGGGTAGACTTTTCTCTGGACAAATGGTATATATATATATATATTTTGAGACAGGGTCTTACTCCATTTCCCAGGCTGGAGTGCAATGGTGCCATCATGGCTTACTGCAGCTATGACCTCCCAACCTCAAGTGATCCTCCCACCTCAGCCTCCTGAGTAGCTCAGATGACAGGTGCATGCCACCACATCTGGCTTTGTAGACATATGGTCCCACTATGTTGCCCAGGCTTGTCCAAACTCCTGAGCTCAAGCAATCCTCCCACCTCGGTCTCCCAAAGTGCTGTGATTACAGGTGTGAGCCACTGCGCCTGGCCAAATTGTGTAATATTGTACTGATAGATGGCAGAGAGAAAGCACACCTCATGAACTTTTTTTGACAATTGACAATGTCAAAGAGAGATTTTCAGGCCGAAGGTGGGGTATAGGGTGGAACAATGTGGTAACTGAAGACAGTTCAGAATGGGTGAAGAAGTTGGAGGAAAACATCTGTCTGCTCCAGGTGAACTGTATTCCAGGAAATGGAGAGAACTTTCAACGAGGTCTCAACCTTTGTTGGTGACTTTAGAGAGAGCCTGCAGAATGTTGATGACGCTTTAAAACAGGGAGTGGGTGGGTGTGAACAAATGAAACTCCAAATTTCAAAAACGCAGATTTCACAAACTACAGATCAGTGATCTTAATGTCATTTCGGAGTAAGATTCTAGGAATGGCTTAAGAAGGGGATGATTTACGGGCTCCCAAAAGAGGAAATGAGGACCATTAGAACTGCACATAAGTCAGATAAAAACAGGACAGACTTACCAAAATTTCTTCATAGGTTTGCATGACTGCTGGATCAAAGAGGTATTACCCAAAAGGAACACTAACAATCAGGAGGCATCAGAAGCCAGAGAAGAGCAAGCGCGAGAATGAACAAGGGATATTTAGTCTGGAGGAAAGAAGGTGTAGCGAGAACATGATGGCTATGTCAAGTGCAAGAAGGACCACTAAATGGAAGACGAATCAGGCCCCATCAGTGGGCCTTTAGAAAGCAAAAACAAAGGCCAATGAGTATAAGTTATGAGACTTAGGAGAAGGCTCAGTATAAGGAAGAACTGTCTAGCTACTTACACAGTCTAAAGTGGAATGAGCTACTTACACAGTCTAAAGTGGAATGGGCTGCTTGCAAACTGATTTCCTCATCACTTCAAGTATGCAAGCAGAAGCTGATCATTCACTTTTTGGAAAATGTTCTAAAAGAGATTCATGCATTATTACATGCGTGTTTGACTCTAAAGTCTCTTCTGATTTTGAGATCTTATGATCTGGGACAGTGTTGGTGCAAATGGGAAGAAATAGGTTGGAAACACAAAGATGATAAAGCTGTAGCCAGCAGAGTGGAAGGAATCGGAATCAGACAGTGAGAAGAGACTTAGAGCACCCAGTTAAGAAAAGATAGTCATGCAGCCATCTTAGCCTCGAGGACCAGCCCCAAAATGATATAGGGCTGGCCACGGTAACTGCACTTCAAAGGAGGCCGCAAATCCATGACTTCATTGGATTTTGGGGATTTCATCAAGGACAAATATGTCAAAATAGAATTTTAATGATGTTCAGTAAGGAAGAGGATAATGTACCATTTGGGTTCCCATTGCAAGCAGGGCCCCAAATACATGACTGCTGAGGACCCTGGAGAATGGGCCAGGCACATCCTTGGAAGCAGCTCTCAGGTAGAGGTCAGGAGAAAATGCTAAAATCAAGAGCACTAGATGGGTGGCACAATGGAAGAGGGAGGAAAGATAAGGACAAAATAAACAGGTGCATTTACTGGGAGTGATCAACTGCCTGGACTGGTCTCAGGGGCACCCGGTTCAGCTGGGTTTAAGGAGAGAGGAAAGCTCGGAACAGGAGACTGCTCTTGAAGGCCTTCTGTGCCCTGATTTCCCGAGTGACCTTGTAGATGTCATTTCACCCCTCTCGTTCCTCCCTGTTATTAAATGCAGGTGGCTTGTTAGTCTAAAAGTGCTCTGGACTTTAGTGAGGAAAGTAACTTCAGAAATTTAAGATATTGTCTGCATGAGTGCAAAGTGTTTGCACTTATTTATTTTCAAGGGTGGGAGCTAGAAAAAAAGGTGAGAAGACACTGGCGCCAGAGTCACTTGGCTCTATCTCGACATCCTGCGGAAGCCAGAGGGCAGAGATCTGGCCAAGGGCGCACACCTGCAGTCCCTCGACCAGCCAGGCACCCGAGAATCCAGCGGGCCGCCTCAGGCTCTGCTGTCCCTTGGGCAAATCCCATTGCAGAATCCAGGGGTGAAAAGCAAAAGCGAGGCACGCCCCTCCCCCACTAGATGGCACTGAAACGCCTTGTTCGCGGTTTTCAAAATGCAGGAAGGGGATAGAGGAAAAAAAAAAAGACAAAAAGAATATGGTGGAGGTGTGCTCATTTTGGCTTACAAGCCCCGTTGTGCAAAGAAGGGTGTGGGGCACTTTCTTTTCCCCCAGGGTAACTCTTTACCCGGCAGTGCCGGACTTCGACTTTGGAGTGAGGGTGAAAACGAGGAGTGAGCAAGAGAGTGAAAAATGCAGCGTTTGATGCCAGGAGGGAGGCTCCCAGCCTTTGCGGCGCTGTCTCACGTGAGCAGAGCAGGGGGGCTGAGGTTGGGATGAAGGGGGGCTCGCCTGAGGCCCACCCGCTCAAGGTCTGGGGTCTGGCGCTACCTCCCAGAGCCTCTGCAGAGCCAAAATCCAGCGGCCACCGTTACAAGATGACAAATCCTGCATCGAGGTTTCCTTTCACCCAGCCTCCCCTCCTCAGTGCTCGAGCTCTCCAGCGTTTTCAAAATATCTACCAACCCACCACCCCCATCCACCATTAAATTTCTCTCCTTCTTGTCTTGAGTGGATCTGCCAAATTTCTTCTTTCTTTTCCTGCTGAGGAGGGGGGGCAGGTGGAGGTGGGTGTGTGTCGGGGTGCCTGGCTCTGGGGCTGGCGGGTTAACTCCACGGCCGCTCTCAGCCCATCCCTGGGTGGAAACGCCTGTGGCTAGCAAGGTAGTGCCTGTGGCTTTCCGGGGAAAAAAAAGATCAAATGCATACCAAGACACGGGTGGCCCAAACCGGGACGCAGGGAGCTCGCTCGGCCCCTCCGAAGGCCGACTCTGCAATAAGCAGTTTTTCCTTTAAATAACTGTAGTGGGTTTGAGAGAATTTTCCATGTCTGGAAAAAGAAACAGGAGCTGTAGGCAACATTCCTAAATTTACAATAATGTATGTAAACATGCTACATACCACATATATGTATATGTGCATAAATATGGATGTGGTTGGGCACATACCTATCTAGACACCATTGACTTGCCTGGTCAAAGAATAAGGCTGAGACATTTCGTGCCTGGGAAATGGTGCAGTTTATCTTTAAGGAGGCTAGAAAAATAAGAGATGAGGCTCACGTTGCACGGATGACATCACTAGCTTTTGGCTGCGCGCTCGGTGTTCTCGTCTGTGGGTTTTAGCCAAGGCTGCAGCGCCCCGCGGCCGACTAGAGAGCGCAGCAGCGGCTTTCTCCGGCGCCCGCACCAGGGCGATGCGATTTCCCCAGTCCCCTGGGCGCAGCCTGGGCTCTCGCGCCTCCCAGGCACCAGCCGAGCCTGCGAGGCCTCGGAGCCACCGCGGCTAGAGGAGGAGGCGACTAGGGGAAGCCGAGTGACCCAGCCTCCCTCCCCCACCCTCGCCCCATTCATCTCGGCGACCATCGCGCGCCGGGAGCGGGATCCTGGGACGCCGAAGCCGGGACGGGATTCTCTGCACGCTGCCGAGTGAGCCGGCATCTCGGCGCCGGGGTGGGCTGCGAAGAAAATGGTGCAATCTGAGAGCAGCTGAGCCCAGTTGGGCAGAGCAGACAGGGTGCCAGAGTGCCAGGGGCTCAGGTGGCTGGAGAGAGGGGCGGATTGTTCCGAGGGGCCGGGACCAAGGTTGTCCTCGGTGCCTGCGGCATTTTCTTTGCACCTGGGCGGCCAGCTCCCGGGGCTCCCGGGTGCCAGATGAAGTGAGGAGGAGGCGTCGCGCCAAAGCCGGGTCCGGAGGCGGCCGGGTGGACACTCCAGGCAGAAGACGGCGCTAGGAACAGCTGCGTGACGCCGGGGGGCTGGCGGCTGGGCCGGCAGCGCGCCGCGACGGCGTGACCTGTCCATGGTGTTGAAGGCGCCGTGCGCCGAGATCCGAGCGCCGCGCACCGTGAGTGCTTCCCGGTGCGCCCCCAGCCGCTCAGTCCGCCCCTCGCGTCCGCCGGCAGCCGCCCAGTCTCCGCAGACCCCGGGCCGGGACTCGTCCAGTAACGCCGCCTGGGTGACCGCGCCGTCGGCCCGAGGGGCAGCTTGAATGGCCATGCCAGAGGCAGGCGCCCTGGCAGCTCGCGGGGGAAGGTCGGCCGAGACAGTGCGTCCGCTGGGAGCGCGCCTCTGAGAGCAGCACCCGGGTCAGAAGTAGCAACCGACCTGCGGGTGACCAGGGAACGGAGATTTTAAAAGGACCCGATCCAGAAAGGAAGAACATTTCTGGGTGCGCGCCCCAGGTCCTTGCCTGCAGACGGAAGGGGGAGAGGCTCTGAGCGTGAGACCCAGGCGGGACTCGGGGCAGCCGGCCCCGGCGCCTGGAGGTTACTTCCGCCTGCCAGCCGCATCGAGGGTGCTCCACTTCACCCTGTGGTCAGGTGGCGCCCCCTGACAGCACCCCCCGTCTCCCTCCGAGGGACAGGCGAGTTCTGTCCCGTCACCACCCTGCACAAGGAAACCCCGGCAAGCCCCACCGCAGCCGAGGACACTTGGCGTTTAGTTTCAGGCCCGAGGGCAGCGGTGCCCTAAGCCGGGCTGGGTTTCGAGGCGGCTGCTGCGGGGCAGTCACTTCCTGCAGGGCGGGGAGGGGGCGGGAGGCGGCCGCGCTGGGTTCGCCGCCGCTGGAAGCTGCACCTGCCCCGGAGGATGCCCAGGAGCTCGCGGGAGCCTCTTCGGATCAGAACTTTTTAGGCCGCCCGCCCCCATCCCCGCAGTCCCCGGGCCGCGCACCGGTAGGTGGGGGCCGAGGGGGCGCCGCGGCGCGAGTCGCTCTCCTGCCCCCTCCCCCAGCTCGGCCGCCCCCCGCTTTGTTCCGGGCGCGGCGAGGGAAGGCGAGGCTGCGGCGGATCATGCCCATGGTGTAGCCGCCAAGCGGAGGCATGGCTGCCGGAAGGTTACTGCTCTACACGGGCCTCTCGCTAGCGCTCTGCGCCCTCGGCATGCTGGCCGTGGCCATCTGCTCGGACCACTGGTACGAGACGGACGCCAGGAAGCACAGGGACAGGTGCAAGGCCTTTAACACCCGCCGGGTCGACCCCGGCTTCATTTACAATAATAACAACAACTTGCCGCTCCGGGCGAGCCGCTCGCGCCTGGACCGCTGGGAGGGCAAACTCCTCCGGGCCCGGAATCGCCGGCAGCTGTTCGCCATGAGCCCCGCGGATGAGTGCAGCCGGCAGTACAACTCCACCAACATGGGCCTCTGGAGGAAGTGCCACCGGCAGGGCTTCGACCCCGAGATCGCCGCCCTCATTCGGAAAGGTAAGCGCCGGACGCGAGGCGTGGCGCTGCGGAGAGCCCAGAGCCTCTAGGCCCCGCAGCCCCTCGCGTCTCCTCCTCAGGCCACACTAGGCTATCAGGGCTATCAGGTCTCCTGGTTCCAGGTGATGCGGCTATCCAGGCCTGGCTGAGCCTCGGAGCCAGAACTTGCCTCTCTCAACAGCTGCTAATGAAGCGTGGTGCGGGCTTAACTCTCTCCCCCGCCTCTCCTCTTGCGCTTCCAGTCTGTCGGGATTCGAGTGGGACTTCTTGGTCTAGGGTTCTTATCCAGGATAATGCTTCATCAGCCTCTGAGAAGAAGGGAATCTCGAAAGTTGTTTGCGCTCTTAAAGGAAACCCTTTAAGGAGTCATGTGTCAGGGGTAGACAAGCTGCTAATATTTTTGTTGAACTGATTCAAACAAGGGAAAGTGGGGGAAACATTTCACAGAGGCGGCCTTATTCATACCAGAACTGTTTGCTGAGCGCTATACTATACCAGGAATGGTGCAGGCATTGGTCATATAAACATGAATGAATCGCAGCCCCTGACCTGTAAGCAGCTCAAAGCCAGCTGACCAGCAGCATCGTTATCACAATTCTTTATGTTTCCTTCTGAAGCAGTGGTTGACAGTAGTGACTTGTGTGCATTGAATATCAACAAGGTGTAATAAGTACAAAAAAAGAAGTTCTTTGGGTAACACCAAAGTGGGCATGTCAGATGAAAAAAAATAAGATTTTCAGAAAATGTATATACAAATAACCGAAGTGTATATCAAAACATAAAACAAGCTGCATTTGCTAATGATAAAAAATTATTTGATATTTTAATGTGATCACATAACTTAAAAAAATTCTGCTTATCTGATGGGATTTGTAAACCCTGTATGATTTATACTCTGGGAAGCATCCTGTTGTCAACTCACTGGAATATTGTTTGAAAATTTATTAATATTGCTCTGAAGAAAGGAGTGTGTTCTCTTCTATGGTAGCTACATTGTAGGAAGATGGGCAGATTTTATTAGTCTTGTTATTTTCCCCTTGTGTTTCATTCTTTTCAACTATTAAATGGTGGTGTTGAGGTGACAAAGATGCAATTATTTGTAAAGTCTTTGAGGCCAAGACATAAAAGTAGTTCTTAATGTCTCATTATAATATTGTGAGGTTTGCTGCTGTATTAAAATAATATTTATGAGAGCTGATGTTCTTTGATAGATAGAAGTGTTGCAATTGATCAGAAAAAAAAATGTTAATTTGTAAAAAAGTCAATTGTTTAAGAATGACAAACAGTGGGTCTGGTCTAGGTAGCCAGGTCAGATTTAGGTGAGGTGACTTCAGAGAGAGAATCCATCTAAGCGTTTGTTTTGTACTTTCTTTAGAATGACTAGGGATTTTAGCTGATTTTGTTACGGGTGTGTTAATACGACCAAGATCCCATTTGCTTCACAATTAGGTTCTTATTGGAACAGGCTGACCCATTTGGAGCACTACCCCTTTGTAAAGATGTACAGGATACAGGGGGGTCCAGAGGAAAGCAACTTGGGTTTGGATGTCAAGGCAGGAAAACAAGAGGACCTAGAATAGTTTTTGACAATGGGTGCCTTTATAACAGTTTTCAGATTCTCAGATTTAGAAAGCATTATTTTATCCATAATTTTCTTCTTTCTTTGAAATTGAAATGAGAGGAAGTTAGCTGAAATGTGAGGGAGAATTCATGTTAATAATGAACAGCAAACACTGGGAGAATTTGCTGAAAGAGATTCTTACATTTCCTTCTTTGAATGCCTTCTAGAATAGGAGAGGTATCCCGTCTGGTGTTGGTTAACCCCACTTAGAGAACGGGGGATGGAATTCACGGCTTCTGGTGGTTCCATTCAGGGCTTTGATTCCCTGTTGCTCTGCTTGGCAGTCTGACTAGAAAGGTTGACTTGGTCTGTGCACCAGAGGGATTGGTTGCCATGGTGACTTGTTCTTCCGGTGAAGCTGGAAACAGTGACAGGGAAAGGGATAGGGGAAGAATGTACAACATTTTGACTTTGTATCGACTGATTTTTAATTGCAGCTATAGAAAATGGACATGGCACAGCAGGGGTATTGAATACACCGATACCTAGAGTTGGCAGGGCATTGTATTTCACTTGAACTAATGGAAATGCTGTTCCCCATCACCCAAAATACAGCAGTCACTGTCAGCGGCAAGCACCCGCTTACCATGGCCGTTTCTGTCCATCTGACATTCTTGTTCGGTATTATTGAGATAGATGGCATGCCAGCCTCACAAATCTTGAGAGAGTTGAAGTCACTATCTTCATTTTTAACCGCAAAACACAATCTTTGAAAACCAGATCTTTTCTGAGCAGAAATAGACACATTTTGGAAATAAGTGCATTTTATATTAGTGGAGTTCATGAGGAATTCCAATAACATATAGAACATAATTTTTACACTTAATCAGTGTTCTTCCTAAATGGGCAGATTCTATAAGGAAGTTGAAAAGAGAAATTGATATCTCTATATCTAAATTTGAGACATTTTAGAAAAAGATGTTTATCTCACATTATTCATTAGAAACCTCAAAAGAGATCTCAGACCTCTGTCTTTTTTGAAATTTCTCCTTTGATTAAAACTCTGAGAGATATGTATTGGGAGAGGGAAAAGGAAAATCAGAGAAAAGACTTTAAAATCTGTCAATATATAGGAAAATTAGAGACTTATCTGAATGATCTAAATAACTTAGTTATTTGTTAAATCGATGTTAATTACATTAGAAAGTGCTGTTTGTGCATTTCAACATAAAACCACATAATTAATAAGGAAACAAAAGTCAAATCTAGGTCTGATTTGAAGATAAAGTCTTCTGGATTTATATTCATTCTGAAATCCATTCTCTTTAAAGACCTTCTGCCATGCTGTACCCCCATGTATGCATTTCTCATCACTGTGTATTCATTTGTTTGCATTATTGAACTGTAAGTTCCTGGAGGGCAGGAAAGACGATCATTTGTACAATACATTCATCAGATGGTTGGTATTTGGGAAATATTTCATACAAATGAGGCTCCCAGAAATCATCAAGAGCTTATTCTAATTATAGAAACACTTGTATGAGAATTTAAGTAAAAAATTAGAAAATCGTGAAGGGAAACAAAATGAACTAGTATGGCTATCAGGCCAGATTAATATTACAACACATGCCACATAATCTATGAAAGGACAATTTCTTGAGCTAGCCAAGGAATAAGGAAAACAGAGAATTCTGTTTTGGATAACATATCATTAAGCAGACACATCACTTATGGACATTATTTTTTGTGATGGATATGGTTTTAATTGTTTCCTCCTTGTGTGTAAAATTGGACATGGGGTGCAGCAAGGGTAGATTACCCTGAATTCCCATTTGATGGTGTCCATGACAAGTCTTAAATCAGGTCCCTTTGTCTTCTTGCTTTTAAATCTCATCCATGTCTCCCTAGTAAGTGACTATAGGCACTGGGGACAGATCAGTGACAAGATCAGTTTCTGAAATCCAAGAGACTTCCAGACCCTTAGGAGGAGCAGCTATAGGTAGGATTTTGTTACAGGGAACAACAAGGGAACAGTTATATTCTTTGGTTTGTACTGAAATGTTGTATTGATATGGTTTGAAATAAGTAGAACTTCAATTGATACTCTAAGAACTTTTTATTATTTGAAAATTGGCCTCTTAATAGACTTTGACTTAAATGGTTCCCATAATCACAGAGTGGTTGTCAATGCTCCAAAAATAATTTTAAGAAAACATTTTACAGACTTAAAAATTAGTAATGGGAACAGTAAATATTTACTGCACATGTGTTGTGTGATGGGCACACATCGCTAGGATGAAGAAATGCATAAGACCTGGTCCTCAAAATTCTCATAGTCCGTTAGTGTTACAGAAAATAGGTTATAACTACAGGATGATGACAGCAGCAACAGAAACAGGTGTGGAGGAACACAGAGGAAGTGATGGTAGATTGTGTTGGCAGTAGCGGGAGGTAGGCGGGTGGAGGTTAGGGAAAGTTGTCCTGAGAAAATGAAATCTGAACAAGATATTGGATGAGGTTTGGAGGTGGACATGGAGGAAGGATATTTCAGGCATTGGGCCAGTGTATGCACAGTCCTGGAGGTGTGGAACAGCAGTTTGCCTTTGTGAGTGTTGATTTCTGGGGCAAGGAGAAGGAGCAGACCGAAGCTGGAGAGCAGGCCTGGACCAAGTTAGGGAACTTGTATATTAAATCCTGTATAGCTATGCTGCCCAGCTGGGGAGACACTGGCCCCATGTGGCTGTTTAAGTAAACAATAACCAAAGTTAAATGAAATAGGCCGGGCACAGTGGCTCACGCCTGTAATCCCAGCACTTTGGGAGGCTGAGGCAAGCAAATCACTTGCGGTCAGGAGTTTGAGACCATCCTGGCCAGCATGGTGAAACCCCATCTCCACTAAAAATATAAAAATTAGCTGGGAGTGGTGGTGTGTGCCTGTAATCCAGCTACTTGGGAGGCTGAGGCAGGAGAATTGCTTGCACCTGGAAGGCAGAGGTTGCAGTGAGCTGAGAGCAAGCCATTGCACTCCAGCCTGGGCGATAGAGTGAGACTCCATCTCAAAAAACAAAAACAAAACAATTTATTTTCTTACTTGTGTTGGCCACATTTCAAATGTTCAATAGCCATATGTGGCTACTGGCTATTGTATGGGACAGGGCAGATTACAGTGAACATTCCCGCCATCAGAGAAAAGTTCTGTTGGACAGCGCCAGGCAGAGCCTGTAGCCTAAAAGAACCAAGCAACCAAGCACATACTTTGTTTCAGATGAGGGTAATTCCATGATAACTTGGGTTTAAATTTAAGTATATCATCCTATACTTTAAGAAACTCTGATACCTGAATGTATTGGGCAGAAGGCTTTAGTTCACGGTCAATTATGCTAAATCTATAATTTCCCATCATCAACTCACAGAATTCTCACAAGCTTCTCCCTTCTTC